CTTTTTTTGTATCAAGAACATAGGTGTCTAATAACTTCTTCTGTTTTGATTTGGTAAAGAATCCAAGCTCAGCTTTTGGGAGTGTCTCTAAAGAGTTCCTTTTAATGTCTTCCAGGAATAGTTCAGTTTGCTACTTAGGGCTTTTTGTTTTTTTGCCACTCAGAGCACTTACCTAAGTAGAGTGAAGAGCACTAATTGTAAAAGCCCCCTCATCTCTACCCCACCCCCAGCCCTACACTAGGCCTGCATCAAATTCACAGGTGAGGTGAATTAGACCATTTGGTCTAATGGAAAAGGCTCACACAAGTGCAAGAGAAAGTGTTCATCTTTGAAGTCACTTCATGAGAAAAGAATTAATTTATTAAGATGATATAACCACAATGAGATGAGCATGAATGCTCATTCTTGTTTAGTTCTTTTTCCAAATGGGAACTACCAGTAAGGCCTTTACAGCAGGCCTGTGGGAACAGACTGTAGTGCAAGCCTCTATTGGGGCCTTGCTGTTCTCCAATCTGATAGAGAGTTCTTCCTTCTTTCCTTCCTTCCTTCCTTCCCTCCTTCCTTCCCTCCTTCCTTCCTTCCTTTTTTTTTTTTTGGGTCCGGTCATGGGGCCTGAACTCTGGGCCTGGGCGCTGTCCCTCAGCTCTTCAGCTCAAGGCTAGCGCTCTACCACTTGAGCCACAGCACCACTTCCGGCTTTTTCCTTTTTGCTTATGTGGTGCTAAGAAATCGAACCCAGGGCCTCAGGCATGCAAGGCAAGGGCTCTACCACTGAGCCACCTTCCCAGCCCCCTTCCTTCCTATTTTCCTTTCTTGTTGTGGGGCCTGAACTCTGGGCCTGGGTGCTGTCTCTCAGCTCTTCAGCTCAAAGCTAGAACTCTACCACTTGAGCCACAGCGCCGCTTCCGGCTTTTTCTGCTTATATGGTGCGGAGGAATCGAACTCAGGGCCTCATGCATGCAAGGCAAGCACTCTACCACTGAGCCATCTTCCCAGCCCTTTTCTTTGTATTTTATTTATTTATTTTGCCAATACTGAGGTTTGAACCCAGGGCCTGGGCACTGTCCCTGACTCTATCACTAAGCCACCTTCCCAGCCTGAGAGTCAGTACTTCCTTCTGTAATTTTCTTACAAACAAACTTTCTTCTTTTCTCTTTTTCACTCTCCTGGCTCTCTCCTCTTCTCTTTCTCTCTCCACCCATCTTTCCTTCCTTTTCTTCTTTTCCTTCCTTCCTTCCTTGCTTCCTTCCTTCCTTCCTATCTTCCTTCCTTCCTTCCTTCCTTCCTTGCTTGCTCTTTCCTTCCTTCACCAGGACTTGAACTCAAAGCCTTACATTCTTTCTTGGTTTTCTTGCTGTACACAGCTGGTACTCTGCCCCTTAAGTCATGCCTCCAGCTCTGATTTTTGCTGATTATTTGGAGATGGAGTCTCACAGACTTTTCTGCCTGAGCTGGCTTTACATCTGGATTCGCCTTCAGGGTCTCAGCTTCCTGAGTAGCTAGAATTACAGGCATGAGCCAGTAGGATCCAGCTTCCGAGTCACCTTTCATTACAGAAAGTTTTAACTGTGCTCCTGTAACAATAAAGCCACTTTTCCTATCAAAGAGGGATGTTCTTGTTTTCCAAAAGAGCTAGTACTGCTCTATTTGGTTCAACTTTGACATTGGATGAAGATGAAACAAGAAAATTGGTAGTAAATCTGTAAAATTTTCTTTTCATTTAAAAAATAACTTCTGAAGCCAGAGGTTGGTGTTTCACGCCATAATCCTAGTTACTCAGGAGGGTGAAATCTGAGGATCTTTGGGCTGGAAGTCGAGCTGTGGCTCCAATGGTAGAGTACTAGCTTTGAGCAAAAGAAGCTCAAGGGCAGTGCCCATGCCCTGAGTTCAAGCCCCAGGACCAGTACAAAAAAAAAATAAGGCAACTGAAAACTTCTAATTTTGCCCAAACAGAAACAGTTGCTGGGCACTGATGGCTCACACCTGTAATTCTTGCTACTGTAATCTGAAGATTACTGTAAACTGTAATCTGAAGAGTACAGTTCAAAACCAGCTAGGAAGGAAAGTCCATGAGACTCTTATCTCCAATTAATCACCCAAAAGCTAGAAGTGGAGCTATGACTCAAGTTGTTGAGTGCCAGCCTTGAGCAAAAAAAAGCTAAGAAATTATCCTCAGGCCCTGAATTCAAGTCCCAGTGTACACACACACATGCACAGACACACACACACACACACACACACACACACACACACTCCCAAAGCAAACAGCAATAAAGCACAAATTACAAATTACTTTACCTACCAAGTAAATACAAGTGACTTAAAATCATTGAAGTTGTAAATATGTCCTGGAGATCTTCATAAACCTCAACCAATTGAAGTTACAGAAAGAAATGGGTACATTTCCTTTTGGTTCTGGGCTTATTCAAGCTTCTAGAAGCCTTCTGGACATTTTGTCAGTTTTCATGTAGACTGACAGTCAAGATTGAAGACTGAGCTCAGAGACAGTGCTCAGAGAGAAGCAGGGACAACTTCTACCCACCTGCTGACTTTGACCCCTGTCCAGCATGCCCCCAATGCCTTAGGGAACAGAAACCAAACTCTTGACTGTTTCTCAGTTCCTATAAGACTATTTTCAGTTTTAAGATTAAAAAAAAGAAAAACCAATTGTCCGATGGAAACAACCATCACTAAAATTACATTCTTCTCTCAATCTGTATTTATTTGAAGTCTCTTTCTGGGTCATTTAGTAAACCAACTAAGTCATTCATCTTCAGAGAAACTTAGGAAGAAAATAATTTCCAGCACCTCCAATTACAGCAACGATTCAGTATCTCTATTAATGTTATTATGAATAACTTGTTGAAGGATGGAGGTATGGCTCAAGTGGTAGAGCAGTTGATTAGCAAGACAGAGGCCCTGAGTTTAAGGCCCAGTATCACCAAAACCCAGACTAACCCAAAATAAGCCCTACTTATATGGTCCTTTGCAGTTTATTAAGCATATTTATAGCAGAGAGCAGAAACTACTCTTCTGGTAAAAGTGTTTTATGGTATGAGTTTCTTGGCATTATCAAGTTGCATGCACTATCTTCTACATTAATGATCTGCAACTGAAAGAGGACACCTGGCTGTCTCTCTAGTAGAGAAGAAATAATAAATGTTGATGATTAACAAACACAATTGCTGACCTTACTGGAATCTGCTTCACGTATGTGTTTGCTTTCTTGCCCAGGGGTGGGGTAGAATCCATATCTTTGTGTGTGTGTGTGTGTGTGTGTGTGTGTGTGTAATGGGGCTTGAATTAAAGGCCTGAGCCTTTAGCTTTTTTTTTTCTTCCTCCCGACTGACACTCTACCACTTGAGCCACAGCTTTCCTTCTGACTTTTTTTGAGATAAGATTCTTCTGGCCTTTACTGCTGATTTCCAACTCTGTTCCTCAGATTTCCACCTTCGGAGTATCCAGGACTACAGGCATAAGTCATCAGCCCCCAGAGCCCCCAGCCTATATCATTTTTCAAATGAATGGTCCTTCTTTTATTTTACTAAATAATGTGTTCCATTGTGATATTCTCATTTAAGTATACAGTAGCGCTGGATCATACGCCTCCATGAACCTTTTGCCCTCTCCTGCTAGTATCCACCCATATAATCCCCCTTTGTTTGTTCATGTGTTCTTTCTGCTTTAGGCCTGCATTTCACCTATGAGAGAAAAGCCCTATGCTGGCTTGCTTCACATAATATGATAATCTCCAATTCCATCCATTTTCCTGCAAATGACATAAGTTTTTCTTCTTTACGGCGGAATAATAGTCCATGACATACACACCACATTCTTTATTCATTCACGAGTGTTTATATAGGTTTACTCCCTCAGTCGGCATAGAGCAGGATCATTTGTAGTGGAACTAAAAGTTCTACTTCTAGATTTTTGAGGAAACTAAGTACTGACTTCCCTAGTGGCTACCCTAATTTACATCCCCTCCAACATTGTATGACGGTTTCTTTTCCCCAAACCTTGGGCAAAATTCCATGTGTTCTTCATAACAGCCATTCTGACTGGGGTAAGATGGAATCTCAGTGTTCTTTGATTTGCAATTCTGTTATCTAGTTTTATTGCCAGTGGGAAACGGTCCACAAATAAGCGCCTGTCGTGAAATTGAGCACAGAATCCAGCGTAGAGACGGGCTTCCATTGGTTAAGAAGCAGTGCCCAGGCTCCCCAACCATGAACTAGGGCTGCCAGGTCCTTCCTCTAATTCCAACCCATTTTCTCCTTATCCACCCCAGTCCTGTCTGCTCCGATATCGTTATCTTTAGCTTTTTCTCTAACTCTCTCTGGGGCAGAACAGTGGTCGTGCCTATTGACTCTGAGCTCAGAGGGACTCGGTGCCGGGGGGTCCCCCTGTACCCCGGCTTTGCTTCTGGCGCCCTGGACTCTGGGGCATCAGGACAGGTCCGGGGATGGGTGGAGGGAGGAATGCGCGGGGACCCCCCACCCCGGGTGGGAGGAATCCTGCCGCGGCCTTAGTTTACACATCTCTAGGATGACCTCCACTCCCTGCCAGCTCAGCACCCCAGGACACCATGGTTGGGGCGGGGGGGTGGGGTGGGGAGGTAAGCTGGGATTGTGGTGACCTAGTTCCTTTCTTTTCAGAATTAGGCCTGGGCATCCAGGTTCAGGAAGGCGCGGTCCAGGCCGGCTCAGGGCGCTTGGAAGCTGGTTGTGAGACCAACCGGAGGCGGAGACCTCGCGGAGGGAAGGGGCGGGCTCCGGGACGCTTCCCGCCCTCCCGCAGCTTTTATAGAGGCTCAGGGGTGCGCGGGCGGCGCGCTGCTGGGAGCGGAGCGGGAGGAGGCCGGGCTC